TTTGGTTACAACAAAGCTATGTGGAAGAATAACTTGTAGATGTTGCATTTTGTATGTCGTAGCTGAAGCTTATATTTTACGTACATCACTGGTGAATGACGACATAACTGGATGTTGTCCAGTCGTGTTACTTATGGTTCACGTTTCATTTCATTTCGTCTTTTTGATATATTTAGTTGAATGAAAAGAATACACCTCGATCATCCAAAGAAAAGAACTTCACTGTACGAAATACTGCCTTTCAAGACCGAAATGAATTGGAATTGAGACGCATGCAATGATGTGTGAGATTTCTGAAGTGTAGTATCAGATCAAATTCAGTGAAATGCAAAATACCTATAGAAAGAGACGTAACCTCGTCGTACAGAGCGTCTGTCATTACGTAAATGTATAATCTGGACTCATGCATGAGTGTCACCACGATTTCTCTTTGATTGAGACATATATTTTACAATAAACGTGCTCTCATAAGGACGTTCGATTTAGAGATCACAATTCACGCTGGTACTGAAACAATAAAGTGACAATATAACATTCTTAGTTGTTTGTATTGTTATACCTTTCCATTTGAACTGTTTGAAGCACAGGTATTGGAGCATAATGAGGAGTTCCGGAGTTAGGCAACAGCCGAAACACAACCAACACGAAGTACCAAACAGAAACACAAATAAGCCAGTCAAAAAACGACATTTATGTTTGAGGTAAGATAATATACTTAATTAATTACAAAGGTTAAATGAGTTGTTTAAAGTACATATTTCTTCATTACATTAATTACGTCACAGCATCAGACTTAAAACAGGCAATTTATCATACACCTGACATAGTTACAACTTATAAGTTATAGATCAATTTCTAAGTAGTTCACAATGAGAGGCCTGCTCACCCGGGAAAACAGATCTCTCAGATTTGAGTTACCTGGATAAGGGTGATGCCTCTGAACCTTCCGATGTTGAACAATTAATGAAGCAGTCACTAGCAGCCCTGAAAGGCAACTGAGTACTCAGGATTATAGGTGCAGCTGTAAATTAGCTTTTCGAAATACGCTTAAGGATGAACTGTCTTAACTTGCCGAGCAAACGAAGCAAGTGGAAAGTGGCGTGGTCTAGAAGAAGTCCAAATTAGACGAGAAAAATGAGGTAATACAACATATGGCTGGTATATACGATAGAACAAAGCATGGTTTCTCTGATAAAGCTGGAGAGTCGTCAAGACTGTGGTTGACATTGCCAAATCAGTTGAGGTGGATACGTCCCTGGTTCTTTGACGTCAGTCATCGTGTCCCAAGATTTCCATTAAGTACCCAGTCGAACCTAAGGCCCATACTTATGATGTTCGTCAGTAGTGCTACAGAGCGAAATCCACTCGCCAATAGATCTAAGCTGAACCATAAAATCAACCACAGCCTTACAGAAACCAAAGTATCCTCGGCAAAAGAGTCAAGGACCCAAAAATAGAATCAACTGGTTAACTGGATGGCTAATTGTAGCAAACCTAAAGATGAGAACTTATGAAAGTGACAACAAAATCTCACTTACAGGAAGACTTTGACAAAACTAGACATCTAATGCTCATAGATCTCAGGCAAACCTCAAATGCTAAGCATTCAAATAATGATAACATGTACCTTGACTGCATAGGCTCTTTCCTTGGATTGACCCTGTGCTAAAGACCTGGATCACACTTGCCACAGGCGCCGTACGATAAAGTAATCTACGATTTTCTGTACGATGTTTTAGGCATCGTGGGCGACCGAGGGCAAAGACTTTTGTGTTCACATGATCTAAGGGCATCGTGTGATTTCCTTGGGGAATGACCGAGGCAAACCTGCATGGAGGCTGCACAGAAGTCGTACGAAAAGCGTGCGGTTTCTGTAACGGTCTACGCAGCTACTGCACGGACATTGTACGGAGCCCCTGCGGCGTCCATGCGGAAGCTGACCGGAGATCATACGGTGATGGTGCAGTTGCGATTGTAGGAACATTTAGCCGACAGTTAAAATAACAAAAATACTACGTTTTAAAAATCTGATAACTCTAAATTTAACTTTGAAGGTTTTGGGACTTACGTACCCTCTCAGGAGGACAATAATTTTACAATACTTGAAGCCACCAACAATCTAAGTTACCAATCTAAACTATCAATCACAAAAGACATCTATTTACACAAACTCTTAATCAAAGTTAATCAATCAAGTCAATTTCTTTTTAAAAAAAACAAGAATTAAATGATAATGAACAGTGGTAAAAAGATCCTGACTGTTTTCACATTGACATATTCACCCCTTATTATGGAACCAGGCATAAGAAAGACTAGCACCTGTTCTTATAAACGTTTGGAGCGGTGCGGTGGCCTAGTGGTTAAAGCGTTCGCTCGTCACGACGAAGACCCAGGTGAGATTCCCTACATGGGTAAAAAGTGAGAAGTTTTTGTATGAAGTTGTGATATTGCTGGAATGTACTTGCTAAAATCGGCGTAAAACAGAACTCACTCACTCTTATAAAATTGTAAAATGCATCTTGTAAAATACATCGTCATGTTTGATGATCGACTTATGCACAGTATGCAGTACCTGTCCGTTTCGGTTAATAATTTAATTACGTTGTTTGATTTAATGAAAGGCAAATCTAGGATCTGGTAGTTAATTACATGTGTGTAATTATGGGTGCTTAGAATATATACATATAGGTACAGGCGTGTATTGCATTCGTGCATCTGGTGAACTAGCAATGTATGGGCAAGTGCGCGGCGATGAGTAATATGTTCTTATCGCTGACAATGATTTAATTTAATCTAAATATTGTCATAGCAATTCATCCAGAAATTACTATCACATTATATCAACAGCTTGCGGCCCTATTGTAATAAATGTATTGTGTACTGTAAGGTGCTTGCCACACTCCATTGTCATCTCTTTTTTCGCATTTCTGTTGTGGATATCCCCATGAGAGCATCTAATTAATAACTGACGGTCATGTTTCAACCTGTGAAAATATATTTCATTTACAAAGCAGCAATTTGAAATGAAAATGTACCGGACCATCTGTCTGTTTTGCGGAACATAGGTCATTCGGATATACATAACCATCTACCTACACAAAACAGTATGTATTTGTTCTCAGCGTCTATATGCTTAAGCTGTGCAAAGAACCACCTGTCACCGCAAATACTTACACTATATGATTGTGACATCAATCCAACAAGAAATACCTATTTTTAAGTCGGTCAATTGAAAAAACCAATGGATTGTATTATGATTCACTATAACACCGAATGAGTGAGTGAGTGAGTTATGATATAACGTCACATCGGCAATTTTTCAGCCATATCATGATGGGAATAAATTGGACATTTATTACCAATATGACTATATAATGAAACCTGTCGCCAAAGGACATTTAAACAGTAAAACAACTAGACCACCACACACACACACAAACAAAACTACTATCTATCTCTAAAACTGGATTTCAAATTTGGACAGTACAATTAAAACGGGATATAGATGGCCAGCAACCGAAAATAGATCACTATAACACCGAATGAAATACCACTTAACAAATTTTGCGTATGCTTTAATTGTGTAGCGCCGCAATGAAAAAAACCCATCTGGGTCAGACAATTTAGTGATAGATATCATAAGCATCGCCATGCGAAATTGAGACACATGGTCAACAGAACCAGTATTGCGGGATTAGTTTCAAGATAAGGAAACAGACGTCATGCACTCTTAAAAAAAACCCCAATAAACGCATAGGTGATTTTGAGAATATTGGACTCATGTAGCTGCGGTAAACACAATAAAATATGCTTTAATAAATTTATTTCAAAAACGTCATCTTTGTGTGATTATGAACAGCTTTAGCGCCAAAGCGAAGCAATTTAAAAGTTTGCCCTTTTAGAAGTTTTTGAAGAAATGTTCGCCAAAACGTTACCCAAAAAACATGCAAAGCAAAAAAAGTAAGCGGAATCGATCAATATAGAAAGGCAAACGTTGTGTTTAATTTTGTCGTAGTGTTTTCCTGGAAAAGAGGAAATCATCATGCCACGACTGAGTGCCGCCAATCGAAACATCGCCATAGGCCGCCTTGAAGCCGGGGAGTCGCAGTCTGCAGTTGCTCGACGTTCACCAGGGCACCATATCCCGCCTTTGTAATCGTTTCCTGCAGACCAAGTCCGTTGAAGATCGCCCGAGAAGCGGCCGTCCAAGGTTTACCCAAGCTCATGACCGCTACATCCGGGATGCTCACTTGCGTCATCGCCTTGCCACAGCCGTGGAAAATGCACCACATCCTTGGTTTGAGAAGAATTCCAGACCAACCTGTCGGGAATCGATTAGGTGAAGTGGGTATTCAACCAAGAAGGCCAGTTCGCCCCTGTTTTGAGAGACTTCCATAGTCGAATCCAGAACTGGAACCTTAAAAAACTGGAGGGGTTTCTGGTTCAGTGAAGAATTACGATTTCGCCTTCAACGGCGAGATGAACAGCGTGTTTACCGTCGGAGAAATGAACGTTTTCCCCAAAAAGTATTCGACAGGTCGGCAGATTCGGTGCAGAGGTGTCATGGTGTGACTTGGGATATCCAGCACACATCTGATTTAGTAGTCGTTCAGGGGAATTTGGCATCAAACCGGTATATCAACAAAGTTCTTGCACCTAGTTCTTGTCCTAGTCTTGTCCTCATCAACAGGCTGCAACATTGCTGATGCGGAGTTTAGCAATATTTACTCACTCACTTACTCATTTCATCAAGAGACGGTTGTGCAATATACCGTACACGATAGTATTATATCCACAGCGTACGAAAACCTGTATGTAACTTTATTCTTATTCATTTATAAATTTACAACGTTTTGGGGTCACGATATGGCTGAAATACTGCCATGTGACTTTAAATATCAACTCACTCACTCGCTAAAACCTGTCAAACACCCCTACAACGCAAGAGGGGAATCTTCATATACTCATATACTATCTTCATGACCTATATATCAGGAAACGTAGTTGTGTCATACAGGCGGTGTGTTGCAGCTGGAACGGATAGAACACATTACAACTGTATTGAACAATCGTTGATCTTGGATTGTAAGTACATTGTAATGTTTACTGCTTGAAGACATCTTGTTTCTGACACTGTTATTGCCTGTTGAGCAGTATTATGCATTATGTACTAGCGTGTAGTGATTCGCAATTGTGCGCTGTCCCAAATAAGCTCACCAGTCAGACTAAAAAGAGAATGTGCAGTGTCACGATTACGTTTCAACATGAGGTTAATTCCTTCCTTGTCTCAAGTCCTCTTCTCCAAATGTGACGAACATGCATCCTCAGACTGATAACTGTCAGTCGGACTGACTGGTATTCCTCAAATATGTGCAGTTCGTGCGACGGATGCATGGGGGTACATTTACCCACCATCTGCCACAGCTGAGGAATCCCATGACTCACATAAATGCAACACATAGGAGGGATATTGTGTCGACAGCGTGTGAAAGCTTATTTCTTGAGAGAACAGGTCCTACACAGCATTATACCATGACTACAGTACATACTGGATTCTGATTGGTTAATTATAGTAATTCAGAGGTATATAATCGCATTATACAGATCTCGGATTTAACGTGCACAGTCACACAGTCACACTCACTTTAATATGTTAGTCGAGATGGCGACGCCAGCGGAAAAAGCAGCTGCGGCCGGGTTGAATGCTGACCTGGTGATGCTTGATGGGTGTGTGCAAGCAAAGTTCTTCGTGGACAGGTTAAAGAAAGTAAAGGATCTTCCCATCCGCGAAGATGACATCTTACTATGCACATACCCGAAGTCAGGTACTATCACGTTGACATAGATATGAATAATAACATTGACTATTTATGCCTTCAAAGGACAAGAGAACATGAATAATATGTCAAGTCATCTGAAAAATGAATGGTTGCTAAAGATCTATTTATCTCACGATCCAATATTTCGACTTACCTATGTAAGGCCTAGTTGAGTACTCGTGGAAAAGATGGCTTTGATTCCAATCTGTGGCGTACCCTCACTATTACATTGCAAAACGATGGTTGAAAAGGCGCACCATCCTTTCCACTCACATATTAACTAACTCGTCAGTAAAGCATGATCATTTTCTGTCATTTAATAACTTGCAACAAATGTCACAGGAAGATGAATATTAATTCTATTGAGTTATGGAACAAGAAGATACACAAATTAAGGTAAACTTGTTATGGAATTTGTTATGGCGATGAACAGTATTGTCTCAACCATCCTTTTATTTCCAAATCTCTGAGAAAACATATTTGAGTTTAGATTACATTTCGTACTTTGCATAATCAAATTTCTTTTGAAAACTCAAGACAATGTCTGAGAAATTAGGAAGAAAGAAGTAAAAACAGTCAGAGGATTTAACGATCAAGTAGACTCCCAGTTTAAATCTTAATTCAAACAATATGCTTCTCAACCTGTCATATATGTTCCCCCAATCATATTGATCAGACTATATATACAACTGCTTTTGAACACATGTGAAAATGTGCACCATTTTAGGTATCGATTTCCATGGCATAATGGAGTTTATTTGGCCATCTCTCTTATTACTGACACTAAAGGTACACACTGGACTTGGGAGATACTCAACATGATCGTGGCTGGAAAGGCTGAGTACGCGAAACACTGGCAGAACTCAGCCTGGCTGGAATACAGGACGGAGGAAGAACTGGAGGCACTGGCATCACCAAGGATCCTCCACACCCACCTGCGTCCAAGGTATGAAACAAATCTTGATACAAATTAGCAAATGTGTATATCGGAATAGGAATATATTATTTGTCCAATGAACACCTTAAAGTAGAAACTATATGAATCTGTTATGTGTGAGTTGAAGTATAAATGCTATTCAGGTTTGTCGGTTGGTTTCCAACTGCAAGTCCAAATTCTATTCTATAACCTTATAAACTACAGCCAACTACCCGAGACAGTATGGGACAAACGATGTAACGTTGTGTACGTCAGGAGGAATCCAAAGGACTGCGTGGTGTCGTCATTCAGTCAATTGTCCAAACAGATCTGGAAGGACAACCCTACTGGCAAACCTAGTTATACTGGAACCTGGGACGACTTCATTGATCTTTACCTAAACGGATGCAGTAGGTGTCTATCATCAAGGGATGTGTTCCAACATGTAGTATTGATGTTGTTGTATTGATAATGTTTACTACATAAGATATACATTTTGGGACACTTTAGAAGATGCTTACTGACGTCTCCACCCAAATATTACTGTAATAATAATCGCAACTTTATTCAAACGAAACTAAAGACCTGAAAGTGTATATTTTTACACATGATGCAATCAACAGCACGAGTACCACAAACATCGTTATATTATAAATCGTTATATTTACCACTGTATCATTAACATATGTCTAAATATCCTTTGCTATGTTTGTTTAAGTACCCCCAGGGCCCTATTTCGAACACACCATTGAATGGACCAACATTTCTGAAGCCAAGGAAAACTTTGAAATGTGCAAAGTGCACTATGAAGACATGAAACAGGTACGCATATAGACATGTGTGGTAAGATGTTACAGTATTTTCCTACATGTGAGAGAGGTGCGGCAGGTCTGTATTGTGTGCACAGGCCTCTATATATTCTCTCTGAACGATTTTTGTAAATGTATAACGAATGTCTGCAAATATGTAACGAGTGCTGTGTTACTTATTCATTTGCTGTTCATCTAATGTACAATTCAATGACATGATTGATTTATGGTATAAACAGGTACCACCGCTGGCCTTTTCCGTGGTATTACTACAACTGAAGTCTCAGATAGGTTCGGCATTGTCATGCGTATAGTGCGTTACATTGTGTAGATGTTTCATGCCAGTACCTCATTTTCAATTGAAATGCGAACTCAGGTCGAAGGACACTCTAAGTTGGCATTGTGTTGATTACGGGGTTGCTTCACAAGTATTTCGCAATCAATAGTATATATCTCCATTTCCAACAGGAATATAAATAAAATGGATGTACACTTTTATTCTGAACCATACATTTACCACAATAAAAGGTTGTACCATTCCCACCACGACCAGGTAAATTATCTTCATTCTTTTTGTATGACAAATATTTCATTGGCATATCATTCTGAACACGTTTTATGTGTTTACCTATTTTGCTATATATTTGTAATTAATCAATCTGTTTAATTTGAATTTGATATTCACAAAGCTAACAAAACCTACGGAAGAGTGTTTAGTGCCAAATCGTGGCCTCAACGTAAGCAACTCCTTTATGTTATGATAACTTTTACATCTCTTCACTTTCACTGAAATTACTAACCGATTGCAGTCACTATAACATAATGTGAAAGAACGGTATAAGACTGGCTCCCTCTGATATGTGCAAAATCTGTTCAACAATGAATACCAGGAACAAACAAATATTGTATGCCCTTATTTCCCGAATCCGCAAAACAGTGGTATTCAGCAAAGAATGGTATTCACTTTCAGTATAGTCAGAAACAATTTGGCAATGTATTAAACTCCCTTATATGCCCTGTTTATATACTGTGGCATTTTGCTGGATTTCTCAGTCTGTAAATACTCTTCACATGCAAATAAAGTTTGATGTTTGAAGTTTCAAGACTAGGAAGACTGCCCCGAGAAGATGCACACATACGCAAGTAAAGGTCTATATAATACAACTATAGAAGACATAGGTCCAGTAATATTATCATGGAATTGTTTCCTTTGCAGGATTGCGTTCGGGAAATACGAAGAATGGCAGATTACTTTGGCCGACCACTGTCGGATAAAACATACCAGGACATATCCGAGGCATGCTCCTTTAAGAATCTCAAGCATGCTAACGAGAAACTCAAAGACCAGACCTACCACTTTCAATGGCAAGATGATTCAAGTGGATACTTCAGAAAAGGTAATGGGGCAGTTCAAGGAGAAAGCTGAGGTATATGGCAATACATCAAGTTTGTATTCTTTGTGTGTCTCCGCTGTTTCAAGAAATAACGTTAACATCCAGCCAATCCACACTTTTTTATTTGCAGAATTGGTAAGTTGGTATGATACATATTTATGAAACTAAAGACATATTGTGTTTCAGGCACAACTGGTGATTGGAAGAACTGGTTGACGGTGGCCCAGAGCGAGCGTTTTGATAGAGTATACGAAGAAAGGTTGAATGAAACATTTCCCTATTAACATCGGTGGAAAGAATGAATCATCGTTAGCCATTTGTGTTTAAATGTACAGTACATTCCCTTTCTCTACAATACCGCAGATGCTGTTGTCAAAGACAAACATCTTTGTCCTACAGTTTATGATTGAAATATGTGAACAGATGAGATTTTGATCTTGTTATCGAAGGGTTATGTGATGACTAGTTTTCTGAGGCGTGATTGATCGTTGGCCTTCGCCAGTTTTATATCCATGACGAGGATTTTCTCACCTGTACATAAATGCTGTAACCATGTCTCGTTGAAAAATTATGATACCCGCAGACTTGGAGGTGCCATACTCATGCCATATTGCCTTGCCTACTGGTAGGATTAATGGTGCTCTATACATGTCAACACGTAGACCAGTATTGTTTAAGGAATTGGTATTTATACATACTCGTAAACTGAAGTCCAATCATTGTGTTACCCAATTAATCGTAAATAAAATTGGTTTCAATGTTGTCCGCAATACTAAATCTGTCCTTGAAAGTTCCTCCAGTTAGAACAGGGTCTGCATTGAGAGCAGTGGTCGGTGTTTTGACCACGGTACTTGATTACGGCTTGGTCTGTCATCCGACAATGCCAGAGCTTTTGAGACCTATTAGTCTGTTGTTTAACGCCGCATTCAGCAGTATTCTAGCTATATGGAGTCTGGATGAGACAACCAAGTGATCAACCGAATGAACATCATTACACAATTTGGATACGATGACATTTGTCAACAAAGTGAGCAAGCCTGACAACCCGACAACCCGATCCCGCTAGTCTTACGACAAGCATGGGTTGCTGCAGACCAATTCTTACATGAATCTTCAGAGGTTTGAAATTTTGCACAGTCTACGTGGCATACATTTCACAACGTACTTATATACAAATTGTTTGATTAGGCCGTTCCCTACGTCTTTGTCTTGTCCTCCATATGGACAAAATGGTTGTGTAATATGATAAGGGTAATGCCATTTTTGAGGGCATTATCATTTGCAGAAGCCCGAGGTCTTCCATTAACTGCCCGACGAAGGAGGGCAGTTGATTAAGACCGAGGGCTTCTGCAAATGATAATGCCCTCAAAAATAGCATTACCGTTATTATTGCTAAAATACATGGAATTTGTGTTGAAAAGAAAAAGGAAACAATGAAGGTATTTGACTGTAAGTTTACCCAAATCAACTTCTGACAGGGTTGACCGCCCGAATGCAATTACGTCATCGAACAATCCAAGTGACGTCACAACAGAAAGTGACGATATTCGACCTTGGCCTTTGACAAGACCATAGCCTGCAACATGTCAAGCTATGACAGTGTTCGGTTTTGGTCCATCAACAGTTTTAATAGTGCAATTGTTAAGGTTAGCACCAACAAGAAAGCCAATATTTCCGCTATTTAAAGCGGGAATTTGGGTTGCTTTGACTTGTTTGACCCAGAATATCTGCCAGTCGAAAGCCACTAATGTCGAACTATGACGTCACTTTACAACACAACTGTTAGTGGCCCGTCGTTAAGGTTGAGCGGTCCAATATCATTTGCAGCGGACCGCAAATTTCTGATAACGGGAGGGCCGTTTCATGATAATTCCATGTATTTTAGCTATAAATCATGGTAGTAGTATGTCCACAGCATACTGTGAAAGCTATTTTCAAACACGTCCTCCTCGCGGAGTGTGTGGGTGTGGGGTGGGCGTGGGGATTAAAACCCATTTAGCTCTAACAGGGCTAGTTACCTCATCGGCAGTAGTCGTGGATGTTTAAAGAAACTGTACGAGCACTCACTTCACCTGGGTTATCCGTTGCCCTGTTTCAGCGAAATGAGCAGTGTCAAATTCACCCTGTTTGATCAGATCCTCCGGTCCCCACCCAATCAACGTGCAATAAGTATGAGTTGAGGTAATATATCTGTGCAACAAGCATCAATGCAGGAGGAATGTTTGTAAAGTGATAGCCCCGTGACGTATATATTCGCACTATGTATTTGTGTCATACGGGCGGTGTATTGCAACTGGAGCCGATTACATGTACATTACAAACGCATTGAACGATCATTTATCTTCGAGTGTAAGTACAGTGTGATGTTGATTGCTTGACGACAGTCTTTTAGTGACACTGTCATTCTTCATTCTGACCTCCAGGTGATAAAGCCACTGGCGGTGCTTCTATTCTCGCGAGGCAGGTTGTTATCCATAGCCCTGTTTTTCTTAAAAGCAATCATCAGGGTTTTGCTGTCCGACTGACTTTACTTTAAATTTCTTGAGGACTTCATTTCAAACAAAAATGTATGCATATGTCATGATTGATCTGTCACATATTTACACCCTGGATCGGGAACTTTTTCTTCACTCGATCTCCATATATTTATAGTGAGTGAGTGATTGAGTTACAATTTATAGCGACTTTGGCAATATTTCAGCCATAACGTGACTAAAAAGGATCATATGTACACAATTTATAATGTTATATCTTAGAATCTGTCTGTGAAGGACAGTAGAAGAAGTAGAATATCACAGTTAAAGATTTAAAACTAGCATGTGACTTTAACGTATATACTAGTTAGGACATTACAACACCCCCCCCCAAAAAAAAACATGCTATAGATAACCGGCAACTGAAGGTAGATCACCATACTAGGGACCATGGGGACTTACAGTGCCTTTGCTACCTGCTTGGACCCTAGCTGGATTTACACCACCCCCTCAGCCGCTGGCTATGGTAGGAAAATTTTGCCATAATTCAAAACAACAAATAATCTACGTTTAAAAAGCATTTTTGAGTGAAATTCACTTTGAATGTTTTGGGACTCACGTACCCGAAATATATAACAAATTTGAATGGTCAGTCCACGAATACCTGTGCGGAAGTGACACTTTCAGCTATAAACCCGAATTATTACCCGCGTACAACAAGGTGGAATTTTAATAAGGCCAACTAGCCATTATTTCAGGCACTGTGTGCTGACAACTTGAAATCTGACGTTTTTGTCAAAGGTCCGGATACGTAAAATATATATATATATTTGTTCAGGTTGTGTTCCTGCAAATGTAGATGCAAGAGGGTATATTTGCATAATCACACGGAGCACGTGACGTGTATCACTGCCCCTAGTGCGGTCTTATCATAGTGCAGTGTATTGGGACAGGACCGGAAGATCGTTGACGATCGCTGATCTTCAAAAGTAAGCGGGTGGTAATGTGGATTACTTTGAGATAGATAGATCATGCTCTTTGTGCACTGTGTTATGTTGCATTATGTAACTGCTAATGGAGTACCTATAGGTAGTGTACTACAAATGTACTTGGTTAATCTCACAGTAATGCTAAGTGTTGCATAGTCATTGAGTAGTGTAATGTTTCGTTATGTGTTGCATATTTCATAATACTAAAAACTGTTGGAAAGTTATATATAATTGTGCCACACAACCAGCGTTTTTGACTAGGCTAGACATCAGTTGTTGTTGCTGTTGACCAGTATAGCAGTTATGCATGGGCATACACAGTGGTAGAAACATTATTGACGATACTGGCAGTGAAGCACAGTGTTGTATAATACGAACTAAGTTTCGCAGTGTCATGGTTGTCAACGTTCAGCGAAAGTAGGTCGGTTCTTTCGTTATCACACGGCGGATCACCCTCACCTTTCCCGCAAATCAAACAAAATGACAAAAAAAACCATTGCTGATCACTGACAACGAGAAGCATTGCTCACAGAAGGAGGGTAATGTGTGTATCGGGAGCATGAGGGTATACTGACACAAGTAACGCAAGTTTCATGACCTACATAAACATAGCACATAGGAGGAGTATTGAGTCGGCAGTGTGTGAGAGCTGGAATCTTGAAAGGGGAGACTTGACTACTGAACCGATCGTTGACATTTGAATACACTGTCGTGGTGACAAGTTCTGAAGTAGTCCACGAGTGACAGACTGTTCTTAGAATTGATGCACAGTATAAACAGTGAGTAATACAGACCTCTGATGTTATTTACAAGCCGAAGACAGATGTATTGAGTGAATAGTACACATCGGGTGTTATTGACGAGCTTCGCAGAAATATATTGACGCATAATATATGTCGTTCACATCGGATGCTATTGAATATCCTTTTCAGATACAGTAGGTAGTACACATTGGTGATGTATTATCATGTAAAATGATTAGTACGCATCGGATGTTATCGATTATCTAAGCAGTGATTTATTGTCATGTGAAATAATAAGTACGCATCGGGTGTTATCGACTATCTAAGCAGTGATGTATTGTCATGTGAAATCATTAGTGCGCATCGGGTGTAATCGACTATCTAAGCAGTGATGTATTGTCATGTGAAATCATTAGTGCGCATCAGGTGTAATCGATTATCTAAGCAGTGATGTATTGTCATGTGAAATCATTAGTGCGCATCGGATGTTATCTATTATCTAAGCAGTGATGTATTGTCATGTAAAATCATTAGTGTGCATCGGGTGTTATCGACTATCTAAGCAGCAATGTATTGTCATGTAAAATAATTAGTACACATCGTGTGTTATCGACTATCTAAGCAGTGATGTATTGTCATGTGAAATCATTAGGACGCATCGGGTGTTATCGACTATCTAAGCAGTGATGTATTGTCATGTAAAATATGTCGTTAGTGATATATTTTTATGATAGCGTACAAGTTTTAAATTAAGAGCTGCGATATTCTAGTAGTTTTACTGTCCGATCACAGGTTTTTTATTTTCTCAATTTATTGTTAATATATTGATATGAATAACATTGTTCTCGTCACGATATGGCTGAGGTATTGCCACTGTGACGTTAAATCTTATCTCGCTCACTGATATAAAATAATTAGTATGCATCGGGTGTTATGGACTATCTAAGCAGTGATGTATTGTCATGTGAAATCATTAGTGCGCATCGGGTGCAATCGACTATCTAAGCTGTGATGTATTGTCATGTGAAATCATTAGTGCGCATCGGGTGTTATCGACTATCTAAGCAGTGATGTATTGTCATGTAAAATAATTAGTACGCATCGGGTGTTATCGACTATCTAAGCAGTGATGTATTGTCACGTGAAATAATTAGTACGCATCGGGTGTTATCGACTATCTAAGCAGTGATGTATTGTCATGTAAAATATGTCGTTAGTGATATATTTTTATGATAGCGTACTAGTTTTAAATTAAGAGCTGCGATATTCTAGTAGTTTTACTGTCCGATCACAGGTTTTTATTTTCTTAATTTATTGTTTATATATTGATATGAATAACATTGTTCTCGTCACGATATGGCTGAGGTATTGCCACTGTGACGTTAAATCTTATCTCACTCACTCATATAAAATAATTAGTACGCATCGGGTGTTATCGATTATCTAAGCAGTGAGGTACTGTCATGTAAAATAATTAGTACAGATCGGGTGTTATCGACTATCGAAGCAGTGATGTATTGTCATGTGAAATTATGTGTACACTTTAGTTACTATCGACTGGCCTTGCAATTATGTATTGTCATGTACAATGATTATTGCGCATTGGGTGTTATCGACTATCATGATGTATTGCGATATAATTAAGTCGTACACTCTGGCTGTTGACAAGCCGAGCGGGGATTTATTGTCATTTAAAATATTTAGTACACTTCGGGTGTTATCGACTATCCTAGCAGTGATGTATTGTCATTTATTACCCACGTGGTCAACGTATGGGAAGTTGCATACTAATCTCGTACGTCACACGAGTGTCGTATCGCGTTGATCTGTGTCGTAACGACTTGACCTGAGATTCTAACGATTTGATTGGATAACCGATGACCTCTCAATTAGGTCACCCTGTGACGGAACTATTTTTCCATTCATAACAAACACGTGCATTCATTCATTCTACAATTTATATGCATTGTGGGAATGTAAACATTGCGAACGTTGCCACATCGCTGTTTAATTGTGAGACCAACCAAGACATTATATGCGTCGAAAAACATAAACGCAAAGTTTCACAAGTGCTGTTAGCCGAGTGAAGCAACTGCAAACTAAGAAACGGGGTGCTACGGAGTAGTTTATGTACGAGCCTGTATGAGGCGATGACAACTGACATGCATCGTGACGTCGGTAACCAAGGGGGCAGACAAGCAAGGCGTAGGGACATCATTACAGTGTGACGTCATGCAAAAGTACCGCCTTCGTGGTGTAGTGGTTAGAGCATCCGCCCGGAGAGTGGAAGGTCGCGCGTTCGATCCCCGACCGCGTCATTCCAAAAGACGCTACAATATGGTACTTGTTGGTCCCTACCTGGCGCTCGGCATTAATGGGTACAACAAGGACTGGTCGGCTCGGAGTCAGTATAATGTGTCTGAGTGGGGTATTCGTGCTTCACTGCGGCATGGTATCTCAGTGGGCTAGCACTATAAAACCAGCTTACGTTTGGGCTAGTACAAGCAGCCGCACATACCAATACACACGCATGCACGTCGTCATATGATCGAAATATTCTCAAGCACAACGTTAAACCCAATTTCACCTCACCTCACCTCACCTCATGCACCTCATGCATTCTTTCGCAACCTCTTTATGAAACGGTTTCGGTTTGAAACCATAGAAACAACAAAATACGCTATTTTGTCAATTTAATGCATGTAAGACGTGGGCAATAAATAAAATACCTCACTCGGTCTCATAACATACGAATTATACGAAACGAGTGTCGTTCCTATGGTATCTGACCTCGTGTAGCATACTCTATATAAAACAAGTGTCACGCTCTGGCTGTAGTCGACTAGCATTGCAGTGAGTGATTTATTGTCATCTAACATTAGTTTAATTCTATAATAGAGTTTAGTAGTGGTGTATTCTCATTAAAAATAAGTAGTAACGTTCGGGTGTTATGGACTATCACAGCAGTGATGTATTGCCATGGAATATAAGATCACAATTCAGGTGTTACAGACTAGCCAGTGACATAATGTCATATAAAATAAGTGGTACACATCATGTGTTATCGACCAGTTTTTATGTGGGTAGTATTCCTCGGTTGTTGTTGTTTAGCCAAACAGTAATACTGTGACGAACGACGTAAGTAGTGCATATCCTGTAGTATTGATGTGGCTTCTGTGATGACGAATACAATGCGTTGAACGCCCAATAATTTTGTTTTGACTAGCATTATATTGATGCATGGTGAGTGAGTGACTAACTGGGTTAAGATTTTAAGACATTTCAGCAATACCGTGACTAACAAAAATATAAATTCATAATACACAGTTATTGTTTTTTTACAAACTGTCATAGACTAGGATAGACGCTGCGAGTTACACAGTTTGTACCGCTTGAGGGTTTTGAGCAACGTGTTCAGCCAAAGGGTAATTTTCAAGATTACACCTTTGTGGAAATTATTCATAATTTAAGGACATAAAATACACACTGCTTTAGGTCAGGACTGTTAGTGAGCATAATGAGCACTATATCTGTGGAAGTTGGGCCATGCGCTTTATTTCATTTGCATATTTATTTCTGAAAAGCATACTACAGTGTATCATGTTTGAATAGTAAATGTGTGGCCATTTGATAAAGGTAGTGCGTCTGAGGAACCGCAATGAGTTTTTTGCCTACCAACAGAAAGCGAAGATTGTAATTTCCTGATCTACCCACATTTTCCATCTAGGTTTGTAAGCAGCATTCTTATGCTCGTGTATGGTAGTTACACCTCTTAAAACTGCAGGATTTCCTTACACATACAGGTGAAATGATCTGTCGCAAGTGGAATATTGTTTAAATCGGATTTAAATTGACCTCACTCACTTTAATGTGTTAGGCGAGATGTCGACGCCAGCAGAGAAAGCCATGGCGGCAGGGATCAATGTTGAACTGGTAATGGATGACGGTCTCGTGCAGGCTGCTATAGTGTTGGACACTTTGAAGAATGTGAAGTTTATTCCTATCCGTGACGACGACATCTTACTCTGCACTTACCCAAAGTCAGGTAATACACTGTGGAGTCATGAATAATGCCATTTGCAAACAAAGGGAGGCATTTAGAAGTACTGTATGTCAACTTCTTTCTGTGAATAAACACGACGGTTCGGGGTGTACGCTTGCTCCTTCATCATCTTGCTCCTTCATCACTTTGCTCCTTTGCTCCTTTTTCACCTTGCTCCTTCATCACCTTGCTCCTTCATCACCTTGCTCCTTCATCACCTTGCTCCTTTATCACCTTGCTCCTTCATCACCTTGCTCCTTCATCACCTTGCTCCTTCATCACCTTGCTCCTTCATCACCTTGCTCCTTTATCACCAGATGATGGAGCAAGCATACACCCTGAAACGAACGTGTTGTTTATTCACATAAAAAAGCTGACATCCACAAATATTGCTTTTCTTAAAACATTATTGTCTGATAAATCACTATTATGTGATTTTCGAATTCCTTTCAAGAAATAAATGATGTGATTACTTTTCAAAACTGGCAGATTAGAGACATGTCAGCAAGTATATCTCCTTTGACATCCTTTTGAAATAGTCGCTCAACCTATAACAGTCCGTTTTAAGAACGTTATCTGTTTAATGCAATTGATTTCAAGTCGCAGTATAAAAGAGTTTAGGAATTTAAACGATCGAATAACTATGTGTCAATTATATTTTCAGTTAGTATGTTTTAACTAACCTTCACATCTGGTAATTATATTTGAGGAATTTAAGATATTTATGAAATAATGGATTCCCCTTGGTATTTTTTGTTGATATTAACACTCCAGGTACACATTGGACCTGGGAGATCCTCAACATGATCGTGGCAGGCAAGGCCGAGTACGCGAAACACTGGCAGAACTCAGCCTGGCTGGAATACAGGGAACACGAAGAGCTGGAGGCGCTGGCTTCACCAAGGATCCTCCACACACACCTGCGTCCAAGGTATGAAATTTATGACACAAAAGTTTGAAAAAGTTGCTGATTTGTATTATTATGAATATAAGGAGGTTGTAACACCGTGAGTTTATTTTTCTAATAGCTGCATTCAATGCAAATCGGATAGCATACACCAAGGACGCTTCGAGGTAGTGAGCAAGCGAATGTTTATGACCAGTCCCATATAAAGAGGAGTTCTTTTCAACAAAATGTAAACACGGAAGGAAAATTAGACTGAAAGATGTTTTCAAATGTTGTTAAAACGAAAATGTAAACCCTTTGCTGGCGATCTCTTGCCAATCGTTATCTGGTGTCGTTAATTGTCAGTGTATTGTTTTAATTCTCCTTGATCTAGTTTAAACAAATATGTGATAACCGAGTAATTTTACTGTCCTTCGTTGACAGGGCTTTATAAATTATATGTATTTTTTAAAGAATTTTAAGCTAGTTTTAGTCACGGTATGGCAGAAATATTGCCGATGTGACTTCAAGTGTTAACTCACTCACTCACTCAGAAATGTAAACTATGCCTGCAGCCAACTACCAGATGATGTATGGCACAAAAGATGTAAAGTCGTGTACGTCAGGAGGAATCCTAAGGACTGCGTGGTGTCGTCCTTCAATCAAACAACCAAGCAGGTCTGGAAGGACAACCCTGTGGCAAAACCGTCCTACACTGGCACTTAGGACGACTTCATTGATATTTTTCTGAACGGAGCATGTATGTGTCTCTCATCATGAGATGTTATTCGATTCTGGCTATTAAAATGCTTTCTAGAATAAATCTTGCAGGACAAGGAGCTTCGTAAGTCTTCACGATCCCCAGTAATGTGGTCTTACTTTGGTTTTACTGTACCCTACATGACCCGATGAAAAGTTATTTGGTTTAAAAGATGTCTTTTTAACTGAACACACCTTACAGTTTTACTGCCCTTTATGGCAGGTTTTAATTATTACTTTGTTAACTAAGTAACTTGTTCTCATGTACGGGCCATGATATTTCTGGAATGTTACTAAAAAGCGGTGTAAAACTAGACTCACTCAATCATCCATGGACGATAGAATGTGTGAATTGTGATAGCGTTTTGTTTATAACAAGCTGCACTATCTTTTCAGGTAAGCTTACGAAAGTCTTTTGTCGGTGCCGCCAACTAAATATATAGGTTTACACAAAGAACTTAATTATGCACCCCCTGTATATATGAGTCTTGCTGAACAGTATGATCCTTTGACTCATAAAATGATTTGAATCCATGTTGATTTTATGATCATAATTGCTCATTTAAAACAAACAAACCGACTGAGTGTCATACAAAACCATGTCTGTACAAGTATGGCCCTGGAAAAGGTTTGAATTTATTGGTGAATGTGAACATTCAAAATGTCATTTTGCGTGTCTTACACGATACAAGGTCAATATTCACCGTAACCTCCATGTGACTGTATGACAGCCATCGCTCTCCTCCTCATTCACCCTGTCAGCCTCCTGATGCTCTGAAGGGGCAATCTACGGTATTCATCGTGTAAAGCAGCTTCCAATTTGGCCAGGTTCTGTACAGGAGGATCCTTTTGTTGCATACGACGACCACTCATATCCCATATATGCTCCAAAGGGCTATATCGGGGCTCATTCAATCGTGAGATATGTTAGGGGTGCTTAACTAAGTTCTTTGCTAAAAGTATTGAAAGTCAACAGACGATTGTTTAGTAGCAGTCTAATTTCAAAATCAGTACAAAGTATAGGCTGAAAGAACTAATGTTTTCCTATTGCAGGTGAGACCACGTATTGGTCAATTATATTACCACAAAATACTCATATTCACAACAGACTAACATATGTATTAAACTCATTTCTTCTGACATGTTTCAAAGTTCCTGGCGGACCCTATTTCGAACACACTCTCGAATGGACCAACATATCTGAAGTCCACGAATATTTTCAAATGTGCAGTGTGCACTATGAAGACATGAAAAAGGTATGCCAAACAGGTATGGAAGGGGCACGCTTACGTGTTCTCAAACACCTGGTGTTGTTTCTCCTTGACAGTTTCTAAAAAACAAATGCTTATGATATAGTCAAAATCGTACAGAGGATTATGGAATTTGGCAATCAGAGGCAGTCCATTCTGTTAAGTTAAGAGTAAAGTTGTATTAAAATCTTAAAACGGTGCTTTCCCTCAATGTAATACGTCGACAAAATAACATTGAAGTATAACAGAACTAAAGATCTGTAGAATAGATAGCTAAATAACAGGTTCAGCAGATTTTCCACTGACCATGACTACATAGACAAAAACAGTATTCATTAACCAGGTATGAATATATAAGACTTAACACACAACTAACTCACTCACTCACTCACTCAACATTCTCATGAAATGGTATTCTTTTTCAGGATTGCGTTCCGGAAATACGTCGAATGGCTGAGTACTTGGGGCGTCCTTTGTCGGAGAAAACATACCAGGACATATCCGAGGCATGTTCTTTTAAGAAACTCAAGCATGCTAACGAGAAACTCAAAGACCAGACCTACCACTTTCAATGGCAAGGTGATTCAAGTGGATACTTCAGGAAAGGTATTTGGAGTTTCTCATGCATATAGTTGTTGGAAGACACATTGCGCACAGAGATCACTCTTTTAACACCGTTTCACGGTATGCATTCATGTAAAGTGTAGTCAGTGTATGAAACATATCCGTGAAACTAAATCATAACATGTTTTGTAGGTATAACTGGTGACTGGAAGAATTGGTTCACGGTGGCCCAGAGCGAGCGGTTTGATAAAGTATACGAAGAAAGGTTAAAGGAAAAATTCCCTTACTGACATCGTGAATAGGAAACACATTGCTTCTTTGTCGTGTTAGGTGCACATAAAGACGGCGAAAACAACCAGTGTTATGGACCGAAGACCGTTGTTGATTACTAGTTCAGAGCCATGTACATGTCCTGCTTGAGATAGATACGTATGTTATAAACTAATGGTGCAAATAAACCTTAAAATCCCTGAGCCAGCTGTATATTATTGTGTGTGTGTGTGTGTGTGTGTGTGTCAACATACAGTTTTGGGAAATTTTTCATGTTACCTTAGAGAATAATTATCTCGATATGCGTGACCTACCGGGAACATCATTTGATATTGAACACAATACGGTTATTCGGCTTGCCATCAGTAAACGGTTCAATCCTAAATAGGACCTGTAAATCTTAGGCACTACTTTCGGTCCTAAGTTGAGTCCCGGCTCTCTTTGCGCGCGCCAACTTGCGATATTGGAGACGGGCCCCAGCTTACTTCCGGTATCAGATTTCCGGTGACAAGCGTATATACATGAATCAGTTCTGGCTCCAAACTGCGCGACCGCCAAATATGACTTTACTAGACCGGACCGAATGTTTGTCACTTGGAGTACTAAGGTCTCACGAAGTGTCGTGACCTACGCACGGGCTCTATAGACAGGACACTGTTAATCAAGACATTTTGGCCCTGAATTGAGGGATAGTCGATATCACATCCGTACCGGTATATCCCACATGGTTACAAAGAGAAGTGAAATTGTTTGAACGATACCCCTGCTCGCTCAGCAGGGAATGGGTACACAGTAGGATGGGATGGTTGTGTGACTGTTAACCTTCAAGTGCCTCACATCAGCATTGTATGAGTGAGTGAGTGTGGTGTTACGCCACCTTTAGCAGTACTTCAGCAATATCACCGCGGGAACACCAGAAATGGGCTGCACACATTGTACCCATGTCGGGATTCGAACGCGGGCCTTCGGTGTGAATAGCGGACGTTTTAACAACTAGGCTATCCCGCCCTTCAGCATTGTATGGTCCCCATAGCCTGTGATTACAAACCATGGAAGGGTCTTGATACTTAGGCATTTCTTTTACCAAAACTACTACCTCCCATTTTGCAAAAGATAAAGGGGAAATCAAACGCTATGCTTTTGTATACACCATTCTGCCTGTGGTGACAGTAGTTTCCTGGGCTAAGCCAGTGCGCCTGGTTTCCAGTTTCTTTGGTGGCGAAGCCTCGTTCTTCACCATCATACTCTACAGATTCATGTACAAGACAGTCTAAATATCTCGTTTTAAACTTAATGTAACATTAACAATTTCACTGACTGATTACATTCGGGTCTTCCGTTCAAGCAAAGCATAACACTAGCATGCGAAATAACAGGTTGAGACACTCCAAATTGTGTCATATATATAAAATCTACAAACATGCTCAGTAAAAGAATAGAGGAAGGTAATTTGTCTCTGGTTGTATTGTCAAATTTAACATCAGAAATCATCGCTGATAACAATTTTACATGATGTAAATAAGCTTAGCTGCAGACAGTTTCTGTGTCAAATATACGCTTTACATATTTGCATCCTACATGGGATTCGCGGTTCATTATATCGGAATGTCCCAGCCTACAACTACGGGAAAGACGTGCCAGGGTTATCCTTCACGAATTACGAAGTTACAGCATTAAAGATACGTCAGCCATTCCGACCGTAGCACACGGGTCTCATCCCTGGGTGAAAGACAGCCTTATTTGTTACACCATCATGTCATACTTGTTTGTCCATTTTGTAATGAAACCCTTCAACAAAAACGAATACCCGGTCTGAACTATCCTCAGAAACAAATTTTATTTCATGTGAAGGTTTGAAAAAACTGCTAATATCATATTAATGGACAGATGAAAGGGAAAGGTTGGCCTGCATTGTCAGTGGCAGCCACCAATCTGCTTACAAAGATAACACTTAACAGCCAATATCGCGCGGCCGCGCTGCTGCCATGCAAAGGTGGCACGTAGCAAACCAGACAATCAAGTGATAGATGGACTATTCATTCAAGCTGTGTACTTTGATCAGGGGTACTCTACAACAGGGATAGGTCACTCGCTTGCTTTCTTTACCATTTGTACTAATTAACGTGTGCCTCGACATGCTCCAATGCACACAGAGACTTGGTTCGTTCCCAGCGCAACTTCGGCTGCTTTTAACAGTACTTAAGCCAGTGTATTGTATCAGTCGGAATTTACAATGAATGAATGAATTAAGAGCAAGAATTTTTTATATGTGAATGAATGAAAGAAATAAAGAAAAAGAACAGAAAGAAATACATATGTGAATGAATGAAAGAATAAACGATTCACCACGGCCATCCCTCCCCCAAAATGCTAAAGAACACAAAACTATCGGTAGAACACATGTGTTAACATCAGCTGTCCTTTTTTTTACAAATCTACTTTGAGACATTTTCTTTACATTAGTAACTAATTCAGATATCTTAATGCATGTGTGGAATGGCATGGGCATTGACAGAATGTTAACTGACACTGTCACAGACCCCTCAAAAACAAAGTTTAGAACTATCACAAAGCGTTGTAAACACCTTTCCAATTTTGTCACATACTAAGATCAACAAGACAGAAAGAAGTTTTAGAACTATAACACTCAAGCATCAATGGCGTATTAGAACAATGCTTATAAGGAAGCTCTTCTTTAGAATGCGATATAAAATACTGTTAAAAGGTATTGCGATATTGTGATATGTGTTGGGGTATTGCAATATATATTGCAATATATTGTGAAAGTTCTAATGTAACACATGGTTTAAGGTAATGAAATTACTGTTTCCTTCTTTTGAAATAATGTCACTGTCCATTGTCAGGACTCAGTTGTGAGTGTACAAGAGATCAATTGAAAATGTTTCCAAATTGAAGTCTTTGCTCTAAAGTTGGGAACTCGAGAAAAAGTGTCTGCAGCGGCGTCAAACATATCTAAGGTAGTATTCTTCTGATTTAAAGGACGCGGTGAGAATTATGAATTATTTCTTAAAACTGATCATCCCATATATTATTTCAGAGTTCAGAATTTTTTCCACCTTGACAATGTCGATACGAGAAAAACACCATGTCCTTATGCTATCGTTTATTTTCGATTGAGTGTCCAATTTGATCACGGTCGATTACAATATATGTTCGTTCATTAACCAGAGTAGTTTTGTCCCTTATGCATTATCTGGTTAGAGATGAATATTACATACATCAGAAGAATAAACAGATATTTTCTGACAGGCGAAAGTGGTGACTGGAAGAACTTCTTCACTGTGACGTAAAGTGAGAGATTCGACAAAATATACGAAGAATGGATGAAGTCACCTCTCCTTTGACATCTTCCGGAAACAGTTTCGTTTGCAATAAAAACATAAAACTGTATTATTTATTTGTTTATCACGTTTTAATTAAAAAGCAATAGAAATACACTTTTTTTAAACTGCAACCAGTGAAGTATGGGAGGTAATCAGCACGAAAGAAACCTATGGTCACATCTGTTGGCCTAGACTATATTTCAAGGTTTGCAATCAACGTACTACCGTTGTACCCTTGTAAAAGAATGTGCAACCCTATGTGACCTGCCTCACTTCGGGCTCTCCTTAGGCGTGATGCCACTGGAAGAATGTTCAAATGCATTCAACTCAACGCATTCACTCACTCTTTGCCTCATCTGAATTCAGATTAAAACCCTTCTTTCACTTTTCACCTCTCCTGGGCGTAACATGCAACAAATAAAAAGGGGGTTCTGGATGTTCAACTTCGTCAAGAAGCACAGATTATCTGGTTTACCGGATTATGAGCCAGAGATAACATCCTAGCAAATTCTGGTACACATGGCTCAAGGGAATGAAATGGAAACATGTTATAAATATTGTGTTGGTATAAGCTGTTTCCTGTCGAGATGTCTGAGAATCCGGCACATATGTACACAGATTCTGATTGACTTTTAATCGTTGAACATTTAACAGATCTGGTCAGTGTGACGGACAACCATATTTGGATGCATATTAAAATGTTCCAGATTTTTATTTGGAAATAGACAACCGGCATGGGTATGAGCAGTCCAATCAAGGACCCACAATCCAATACACTAATTAATCCTCTTGGCACGCTAAACAATCAGGCAGTAGTGATTCCGCGGTGAATCAAACGCTCTAAGCCGGCATGGTCCCTTAATCCTTAATGGCTAGGCCAAAATTGTTTAAATTGTTGGACAATTACGAAAGATCAAAGGCATTATAGTGATAAAGAGATTGACGACTGTAAATAGCAGCCAGGTTGGAAAATGATCGTCAGTGTCTAATTTGGCACTCTGTATAAACCGGCATTTTATTTCGTTCCCGTGGGGTGCCGGTTTAGAAAGGTTTCACTGTATCTAAATTGTTTTGATATGATGTATGAGAAGGGCAAATGGCTATTCATGACAACTACAAATCAGCTGAAATGAGAATCTGGTCACTGAACCTGTCCAACACAGAATAAAATATATGGTCGTATGTGGGTAAATTAGACAGGCACTGGATACTGACGCATAGATGTTAACACCAAGTATTTGCTCAAAGTACAGAACCGAGTACAAACATCTCAAGAATTTACTAGATTTCATCGTCTTTATATTTGGAACTATCATAAGTTACGATTCAGACAATTGAAAAGCATTTAGGCATGCGCGACTGATCCGAATGCTCGACAGCCGCACGTAATTGGGCAAAGCTCTCGCTGATCACCTCAAGGACGAGATACCAGAAGTTATTCACAGGAACGTTTCTGTGACAAGGTCATTCACAAATCATTTTTGGGGAGCCCCATGCATAATTCAGGATCATGCTGTTGCAAATTGAGGGGTGCGATAACAGATTTATATATCTTGCAACAGTTTCGGAGAAGTGGTGAAATACGGTTTAAGTAATCTTTTCTAAACGGACCTTAACGTGCTTTGGCAAATATTAAATAGTATATTACAAGTTTTAAAAGGTTGACATACATCATCAAAATGAAGGATGATCACACTTCAATAATATATGGATAACACATACTCCGAAATGTATGTGTGTACATTTTACAATCAATCAACAAAATCAATAATGCGGCAAAAATAAAATATTTTCGACAGAGTTGTTTTAACACATGGGTCACAAGTGCGTCTGCGTGCTTGTGTTTGTCTTTAAGTAGG